AGCTTTGAAACTTTCACACTTGCTTACTGTGCACTGGGATGCTCTCACAAGATCGTACAGACACTCAGTCGTCCTTGTAGATCTCGCGAGAGCCTCCCAGAGCACAGTAAGCAAGACGGAGAGCTTACAAACTCTCTGCCTTGCTTAGAGGGAAGGGCTCAAGACCCATCTGACGTGCCACTTCTTGAAGATAAGATTGGTTATGCGGTGGTTTTTGAGTATATGCTTTTTGCATATGCGCCCCATCCCCAGAACGTTAGTTCTGCTTAAGATGTGAGTTACCTGTATGTCACTAACCTATACAACTCACGGTGAATCGTTAGCAATACTATTGCTTCAAGATAACAGGTGAGTTTTTAATCTCAGAGGCTTACAATAGCACACTGTGGCAGCAAAGACTGGAAACTCCTCTTTGCTATCTGTCATTAAATTTCATCTCACTAATATCAGATGTGAAACTTCATTTGATTCTAAGATATAACTCCAAAAAACTGTAGTTCATTAGAATATATAATTCATCTTAATGCTTCATCTAAATGAAAATGTGATGCTCCAATTTTCATGCACAAATAAGAATATTAAGCTAATTAGTCTGTTATAATAAGTAACCTAATTACAAAGTGTGACTTTTCTAAATGAATTTTAAACATCTAATTCTGACCTTTATTAGGTTTGATGGGTATATTGATTATCCAATTAAAACCTTATATTAATAATTAACTTACCTAATTTGTATATGCAAATAGGTATACACATTCTGAAAAGAAAAACTTCAAATAGAAGGCAGCCTTTCAATCATCCTCTTCTTACTTAACCTGTTCTTAATAGCAGTATCCAGATTATTATAGCAAGAGGTCTTTTAGCCAAGCTATGATCTATAATTGCCACCTGAACATGAGAAATCTCCATACACTGTCAAGTTAAACAGTTTTTTTATTAGAACCTAATGCTTCAATTTCAGAAGTATGTGCACAGAATTGATTTCTCCCTCTTACAGAGAGGAAAAGAGAACACCCGTGTACAGTTATACACTAGGTGTATATACACCTATTTTGATACAGCTTGGCAAAGAGTTCCTAAAACATGCTCAATACAATAGAAAACTGTGAATACTCAATGACAATGCAATGTTATAAATGAAGTGGCTTTTCAAACATACATTGTAAATCCTACAGACAGAAAAGCCTTGACATTGAGCTCTATTGCAATTAATTAGTGTATAGCCAACCAGAAGGGTGTGTGTGAATAGTATGGCCTTCTCACCATACTTCTTTCTTGATTCCCCCTTTGAAGTAATTCTCCTTTTAAAGAAGGCATTGGAGGTTAAATTCCCACATATGTATATAACATGTAGTTTGATAGTAACACTCTCTTCCCAAAACAAATATAGGAAAAAAGCAGCTATTCAAAATCGGGATAAGCCTTAAGAAGGACAATGAGATATATTATGCTAAGATTAATTTATTGTTTAAAATAGGGAAGAGCTGTGGAAGGCTTAGCTACCATGAATACGTTTCAAAAATAAAGATATAAAACAAGTGAGCATCTATCTATAGTAGGTAGAAAAGGGTGGAAATAGCTTTTGATTGAAGCTTCACAGTTTCCTGAAAAGGAGCATTTGAATGAAATTTTACACAAAGCAAACAGATTATATTGTAAAATAAAGGCAGAGAAGGAGTCAGAATGTATGCTGAAAATAAAAAGCACAGCCTTAGGCAAAACATTTAGTTCAAAATCACTTTATGAAGTCTATGTTCAGTGATCTACAGCCAGGTAAATCTTTATTCAATCCAGCAGAATTACTTCTGATATGTGCAAGGATAATGGATTTGGGTGTTTTCAGGTTGTTTCAAGTATGGATTTTCAAATATACACAATAACAATTCCCCCTTCTCCTAGGAACACCACCTCAACCTAATCTTAAAACTTAATTCACATGTTTAGGAACTGAAGGTGGCTTCACCCAGAAGTAACTAATGTTCACATGCTACGTAAATGGATTATTCCTTGGTCAACTATAGTAATCAACCTAACATATAGTTTTAAACAACCAGGAATTTTATCCAATGCTTTTGCTTGTACTACAGGTCATAAAGAACAAAAGTGTCTGTGAAATCTACTTTGCACCAAAGTAACAGCAGAAGTGGACACCTCAGGAGTCTGTCTGTCTATCTATCTATCTATCTATCTATCTATCTATCTATCTATCATCTATCTATCCATCTATCTATTTATTTGAACCCTGCCCACTCTGGGAGGCTTCCAACAAAGATTAAAAAAACATTAAAATGTCACACATTAAAAACTTCCCTGAACAGGGCTGCCTTCAGATGTCTTCTAAATGTCAGGTAGTTGTTTATCTCTTTAACATCTGATGGGAAGGCGTTCCACAGGACGGGCGCTACTGTGGAGAAGGCCCTCTGTCTGGTTCCCTGTAGCTTTGCTTCTTGCAGTGAGGGAACCACCAGAAGGCCCTCGGCGCTGGACCTCAGCGTCCGGGCAGAACGATGGGGGTGGAGACACTCCTTTGGGTATACTGGGCTGAGGCCGTTTAGGGCTTTAAAGGTCAACACCAACACTTTGAATTGTGCTTGGAAACGTACTAAAAGATGTAATTGAAGCTTAAATGACATCTATGCTAAAAAAACAAAAACTGACCCAATGCTTTTTAGGAAAAAATATTCACGTGACTGTGGGGAATACCCCCTAAAAAGCCTCTAAACATCCACTTTTTTCTGCTCTCCAGCTCTCCCTCCCATGCTCTTTCCACACAACTCCCTCTTCAACCATGGTTGAAGCGGGGCTGGCTAGAAGCTGTGCAGAAAAATGACTGCTGCTACTGCTGCTGCACGTAAGCTGCTAGGCTGGGATGCTGAGCAGCCAAAACAAGCCCCACTGCATCTCCTGTCACTTTAGAGCTTCCTCCGCTTTCACTGAAGTCCTCTTCGGGTTCTGGGGTCTCCTTGCAAGCCACAATGACTCTCCAGTTCTCTCCCACCATTTCCTGTTTTGAATCTTTCTATCTATCTATCTATCTATCTATCTATCTATCTATCTATCTACTTACTTACCAGAACTGCATATATACACGGTCACACATGAGTCAATCACATGTATGTGGGAGGGGGTTGTATAGTATAACAAATTGTTAATACACAGAAGTGGCCCAAGTTGAAGGATGTTGCTGTTACCTTGTCAGTTCTTGGCTGTTAATCACAGCTTCAAATGCACAGTATTTTAATCATAATGAATCCAGTTGTCCTCAATGTTTAAAGAAATGTGATATATAAAGACAGTCAAATGTTGTTTTTTTAGAATTTCTCACATGTCACTATTGCCCTTTCTCCAAGGAACCTAGAGCAGCACTCACAGGGTTAGAATATTTTATCCTGAAAACAAACATGTCAGGGTGGTTTGGCTTTGAGAAAGTGACTGCCCAATGCCACCCTCTGATCATCAGGGATGAGCTGGAATTAAATTTGGCCTTCTCAGCATTTTAGCCACTCTACACATTGGTTCTTTTCAATGACTAGACACAAAATCCTTTGTACTAAGATTGACAGGGGAAGTTCTACTTGAGATTCCTTCACCTGATGAAAGTTATGAGGATGCAAAATGTGAGAGTACTTTCTCTGAAGCAGTGATTTATCTCTGGAACAAACTGTCTTCCAAGCTGAGTCTAGCACCACATTTCATTAGCAGAGGAAGATGCATTTATTTGTTCAGGTCTTTGGAAGGGATAACATTATGCCAGTTAGTTTCTGAGTCTTTATTGCCTGCTTCTGTGATCATAGGTATTAGGTGTTGATAGCTTTAGAGATTACTTTTTTGTGTCTGATATGTGGTATTATACTATGTCACAATTAATTCTGTTTTAATTATTTATGCATACTGTCCTGGGGTTTTTAAGCGAAAGTTTATAAATCTCATAAACAAATGCCATGTGGGCATACTACTGTGCTACAAGACCTTGAATGTAGAACTTCAGAAGCGATTACGCAAAGAGCAAATATCTACTTTTATCAATGCATGACTTGCATAGAAGCCACTTAGTCAAAATGTAACATTATTTTAGATCTACATTGTGGTCAGTAGGTAAAAGGGCGTAGGCCATTTGCCACTGCAAGGCACCTTTCAAATAAACCAGATAGCAATAAGATACTCTATTGTTTTAGATATTTGTGAGCACAATACTGCTTCAGAAAACAATTTTGAAAGCTGATGCGACTAGAAAGAGCACATGCATTGCTGCTGTTGGCTAGCATATTATTGCACATATATATGTTATTTAGATAGACTTTAACAAATGTTTTTAAAGGGGGTAATTTTGGGGATGGTTTTATTATTTTGAGCCATTTTGGGTAGAGTATAAGTTTACTCTGTCCATGTGGTAAGATGATTGGCAGAAATTCTTTTCTGCATGCTCTCATCATCAGTAGCAGGAAGGGTGGCAACCAGCCTAATGACCATTTTATGGTACGGCTGTATTATTAAGATAGCATATAAAAAGGTAAAGGTACCCCTGCCCGTACGGGCCAGTCTTGACAGACTCTAGGGTTGTGCGCCCATCTCACTCTATAGGCCGGGGGCCAGCGCTGTCCGGAGACACTTCCGGGTCACATGGCCAGCGTGACAAAGCTGCATCTGGCGAGCCAGTGCAGCACACGGAAACGCCGTTTACCTTCCCGCCAGTAAGCGGTCCCTATTTATCTACTTGCACCCGGGGGTGCTTTCGAACTGCTAGGTTGGCAGGCGCTGGGACCGAGCAACGGGAGCGCACCCCGCCGCGGGGATTCGAACCGCCGACCTTTCAATCGGCAAGCCCTAGGCGCTGAGGCTTTTACCCACAGCGCCACCCGCGTCCCAATATAGCGTATAGCTATCCACTAATAAAAAAGCAGCTACTATTTTTAAAGAGATGTTCTCAGAAATCTTTGGTAAACTTGCCAAAATGCACAGTGGGCATCAATTACAGGTTGAATTTATGAAACAGAACTTACCACAACTCCAAATTGTTCTGGCTCACAGAGATCATCATACTCATTCTTTAACTCGGCTAAGGCACTGAGCTCTTTCGGTTCAGGGAGGTTCTTTACCAAATTCTAGTGACACAAACAGAAATAAGAATTATTTTTATATTTATTAATAATAGGTATAGATGATATAGATATAGATTTATTATGCTTCAACTAGCGATGTGAGATGAGAATATTCTTGAGCATATTTTCTGCTAGAAAATTCTCCACAAACTGTAAATTCTAATGTAAGAACCAGTTTTACAACCCACATTTAAAAAATCTAATAAACAATCAGTCAAACTGTGATATTGCCAGTGTAAGTAATGAATAATGATTTTTTTTTTATCCAGTTACATTACTGGGCATTGTGTCATTCCCCATTGGCAGTTCTGAAATGTGAGCTACAGAAAGCATTTTATTTTATTTTTTAGTTTTAAAAATGCTATTCATTCAATTCGTAAATGTAATAGCCTTTTTTTCTATTTTGGTGTGACCTTATTCTTTGCAATTCTATACCCTTGGCCATACAGTGTGATTTATTTATTTTTTACAGAAAGTAGCTTTAATGATCCCATCCACACTATCAATCAGTGTTTTTTCTTTTAATATTCCTTCTACTTTAAAAGCTACATTTCATACATAATTAGAATTCAAAGTTGATGGTAAATATATGGTTTGTGGCAGGCTAAGTGATTAACGTGAGCCATTCACGTTGAATTTTCAAGTTTGGTGCAAAAAATCAAAGAATGTGAATTCACTGCATTGCCCCATTGATTAAAAGTATCGTTCCGTTTTTTGGTTGCCATCTGAACAAGTTTGCCCATGAATAAACATGTATATTAACTAATTATATCATTTTCAATGCAATAAAATGAATATTCTCCTATTTTAAATGAAAATTCTCTAATATTATCATTAATTGAGACTATTCTCCAAAAGATTGTTCTCAAGAATTTAACATCACTAGCTTCAACTTAATAAAGCAGAGCTTTCCAAACTTTTCATGTTGGTGACACACCTTTTAAACATGCATCATTTTGCAACACAGTAATTCAGTTTTACTAGCAAACCAGAGGTTAAACTAACCCCTTTCCAGCCCTGGGAGGCTTACGGGAAGCATTTGCACAACACACCTACACACTGCAGCCGACACACCATTTGGAAAGTTCTGTAATAAAGATACATAGATGATCCTCAGGGTCACTCCAAACTATACAATTCTATGATTCTGTATAAAACCTTAACCTAGGTCCAGGGACTATTGTTTTAGGCAAATTTACTTTATGTAACAATCATAGAATCACAGAATTGTAGAACTGGAAGGGACCCTGAGGATCATCTAGTCCAGTGTTTCCCAACCTTGGGCCTCCAGCTGTTTTTGAACTACAATTCCCATCATCCCTGACCACTGGTCTTGCTAGCTAGGGATGATGGGAGTTGTAGTCCAAAAACAGCTGGAGGCCCAAGGTTGGGAAACACTGATCTAGTCCACCCCCCTGCAATGCAGAAATATGCAGCTGTCCCATACAGGGATCACCCCACATAATTGTTGTTGCTGATGATAATTATGTTATCACCTAACCTTCACTGTAAGATTACAGCATTAAAAACAATTTAAAAAATCTATAATCAAAAAATAAAAATAAGGTGGGTCCTAAAAACACAGACTTCAAGTGTCAAAAGCCAGGGTAAAGAGGTAAGTCTTCAGCGTGTCTGAAAACTGTATAATTAAGGTACCCTCCATGTTCCTGGAAGCATTCTCAATGAATAAAATCTTAAAATTGTTTTTCAGAAGAAAAAAATGATTGGGAAAGTAACAGGCAACCCCAATGGTGTGACTCCACTGTTCACACCCCGTTCTCAAAGCAAACACTAACGACAACTGAATTGAAAAATTGAGTGTTGTTAATAGTGTGATCTATCCACCGAAAGGAAATAACTCCACCTTCTCCCTTTTTCTCAGCACCTCTCCCCTTTGGAGCTCTGTGTGTTTCCCCAATATGTTGGTTTCATTTCTCAGAAAAGAAAAGATGTAGAGGAATTCCCTGATCCGCCTCAACATGCCGTGTTAGTAGTGCAATTCAACTCAAGAATATAAGAGTCTGTCATAAATCATTCCATTTTGTCTTGTTATTGGGGTACACACAAAGCCAATGCACATTCCTAATAAATGCAAATGAATCACAGGCCTTTCTCTCAGGACTATAAACTAAAAGCAAAAAACCACAGGAACACTTTTACACTTTGCATGACAAGGACTGGTGGAATATGGTAGGGGAGGTATGCATTTATGTTTAGTTAAAACCAGATTAATATTCATTTTTCAGTATTAATTGTAACTTTCCAACTGCACATACACAATGAACATGCCCTGAAGAGCATGTCTGGCTCTGTGCCCACACCATATTTACAAACATTTGTTGTTTCTCTGTCCTTGGTCACACATGGATTTGCCACATAGACATGTTCAAATACACATGTGCTGTTTGTAGAGGCTATCAAAGTTTGTGGAGAAACTCAAAATACTTTTTTGAGTATTTTTATGATCATTTTAATGTGGCATTCACTGATTTATCTTTCCACTGCAATCCTGTTGTGGCAAAGCATTCTTCTAAATAGTGGTGAAAATGTAGTTCGCCATCACCTGCTAAAGCATGGTGTATTTTCTTACTACCATTTATTGGAGCAAGGGACTCCTTCACCACAAAGTTGCAAGAGGTAGCAAAATCACTTTATCAGAGTCAACCACCATAACCTAACATTTCACCAAATGCTACCCAGATTCATTTTTTCTATTTCCATTTCACTGTGAACAGCTATTGGATCTGTATGTATAAAGTTAAACTGTTCTTAAGAACATCTGATTCTGACATTGATCAGAATTGAGTGAGTTTTGTTTACACCTTATGTTGCAAAATATTCCAAGGAAGTTTCCCTGTTTCCATATGTAAATGCTTGATGGAAATGTCATTAGACTGCAGGCTAGTTTATAAAACTATGAAGGCAAACAAAAAATTCCAACCTTGGATTAACAAGCAACCTTCATTACGATGAAGGTATGACAGTTGTCCCCAGTTCTAATTTTAATACATACCATACATGCACCCGTTAACACATTCACAGCATAACAGAACAGTACAATATTTTGCATAGAATCACATTTCGAGTGGCACCTTACTGATCCAGTTTTAGACAGGATAGTCAAAAGAAAGTGTTTGTGACAGCATTAAAACACTTTGTATTCAATCGTTCATGCCTCATAGCTCTAATTTTATGGCATGTCAGCACTGTGATGTTAAAAAACTGTCTGTTAAACAGAACTGAGACATTTAACTACTTTCCACATTTCTGCAATTATTCAACAGTATTCCACAAACTTTTATTTTCTTTAAATGTTAATTGCACACTTAAAGGTTAGTTAAGTGAAGATATTGAACCATGGTGCCTTTTCTTGCATACAAAAATGTAACCTTTCTTTCTTGTCTCAAAACATCTCATTAAGTCACTCAAGCCTTGGTCACACATGGATTTTTCATTATAAAACCCATCATAATGTACCCAGATTGGATACTTAACAAATTTAAGGATATATGACATACACAAGTTGTTATCAATATACTCCCAATTATTATACCTATGACTCTTAGTTAAATCTACTGGTACAGACAGCATAGGAGGCTGCCTTATGCCAAATCATATTTTGTGTGTGTGTGATCTGCACTCTCTCTCTCTGTGTAATGTACTGCATGTTGGGTTGTATGTTTACAGTGGTACCTCGCAAGACGAATGCCTCGCAAGATGGAAAACTCGCAAGACGAAAGGGTTTTTTGTTTTTTGAGCTGCTTCGCAAGACGATTTTCCCTATGGGCTTGCTTCACAAGACGGAAACGTCTTGCAAGTTTGTTTCCTTTTTCTTAACACCGTTAATACAGTTGCGACTTGACTTCGAGGAGCAACTCATAGCACGCAGTGTGGTAGCCTTTCTTGAGGTTTTTGAAGACTTTGGTGATTTTTGAAGCTTTTCCAAAACTTTTCCGACACCGTGCTTCGCAAGACGGAAAAAAAACGCAAGACGACAAAACTCACAGAACGAATAAATTTCGTCTTGCGAGGCACCACTGTATATGAATGCATAGATTTCTTGTCTCAAACAAGAAGCTTTCTTTCTTGTTTCAAAACATCTCATTAAGTCACTCTCTCTCTCTGTGTAATGTATTGCATGTTGGGTTGTATGTTTATATGAATGGATAGATGGATGTGTTAGGGTGGTTTTGGCCCTGCCCTTTCTGATATGTTGTCTAGCATGCAATCGCTAACCAACCTTAAATAATGGTTTGCTGCTCACTTATTCATCCCTGGTTCAGATATAATATGAAACCAAGGCTTCATTCTTTATCCTGCTCATGCCAGGGAAGGAGTAAGATGAAAGCTATCAGACCACATGCTACCCTTTTGCAAAATAAATAAATAAATGATAAGCCAATAACTCTGGATTTGTGTTAAATGAAAACAGGCCTAATCTTATATAACTGATTTAGTTACAAAGCTTGTATTTCAAGCTTCCTCAAATAAATAAGCAACTTCTGCTGAATAGTTAAGCCAAATTGGTTATTTTTTGTTCTAATTTTTAGCAATAACAATGTATTGTTAGTGGGTTTTGCAGTCAGCTGCCTTTCACTTTATTGTCTGCAACTTTATATGTGAAGGGCTGTGGACCATTCATTCATTCATTCATTTATTTTAAGGAGACTAGGAATCCCAACATGATGACAATTTGGAAATAGTTCTTATTGTGTAGCATGTTGCCTCCCACTAAGATTTCTGAACCTCCATAAATTTATTTCTAAAACACAAGGAAAGTCATCTGGCAGTCCAGTATTGAAATATGAAAGATTCTCTTTCCTGCACTCTCCTCTGAAAAAAGCATCAAGGAGAAGAGGTGAAGAGCCCCCATCATGTTTTCTAACCCCTCTACTTCCTCCACCAGATTGCTGGGTGGGGGGGGGGAGTTTCATGCTTGTATCCTTTGCCTTGGGACATTTGCAGGCCACAGGAGCCAATCATTTTGAGGCTTGTGCTTGCATAATCATCCTGAAATTATCTTTAAATGAGCAGGCACATCTACTGGCTGCATGCAAGGGGAGGCTTCTGCATTTTACTCTCATCATAAGCGTCAGAAACTGGGAGCAGGTATAGAACGAAATGTATGATTAACAGGTTTACAAATTTTAAAAGGGTAATTAACTGCCCCAATTGCCCCATATGATGAGGTCTCAAACAAAGAAGAGATATTTTTAACTTGAAACATGAGTGCCCACTAAAATAAAATTAGCAATCTAATCTGTAAATTTGTTCCTAAAAGGATCGTTGGGCAATTTGTATAGAACTTGAGCAGAACTTAGTTGGACACAACCCATTTAAAACAGTCCTAGGCTTTCCAGAAAGAGTGAAGAAAGCATTTGGAGTGGAGAACCTGAGGGCCTTCAGATATTACTGGACTCCGACTCCCACCATGCCAAATTATTGCCCATGCTGGCTGGGCCAAATGGGAGTTGGAATCCAATAACATCTGGAGGGTTATAGATTACCTACCTCTGATGTAGTTCAAATGAACACTGTGAATTAATATTTCAAAATTTACAGGTGGCAACACAGTGGTTCAAGTGGAGCACACATCTAGGTCAATCATAGTGTTAATTTAAGACATTTAAAGTTTACAAGCAGCTCCGTTCTGAATCAGTTTCCCTATAGCAGGTATGTCAGGGGTAGCCAATGTGGTGTCCCCCAGATATTTATTATTCATATAGATACCATGGCAGAAATACTAATTGGATTCTGACTCTCACTAGTCTTGGCCAACATCACTAATGGCCAGGAATGATGGGAATAGTAGTTCTACAGCTTCTGAAAGGCACTACATTGGCAACCCCTGGTGTATGTGATGTCATTAACCCCATACCACACTATGGTGAATATTTATTATTAATTATTATTTTATTTATTATATTTGTATGCCGCCCTTTATCCAAAGATCTGAGAGTGGTTCACAGCATAAAAATACAGAATAATACCACAAAGTACATAATAAAAATAAGAACATGTTACCAAGATATGGATAATTGAATAGGTTATCATTCTGCTGATTTAAACTGTGATTCTAAGAGATGCTATGTTAACTTACCTGAATCAGTGCTTCACTCAGTTTTAATTCATCCACTTCTAGAATAATATATTTTATTTCTTCATAAGGCATACGGAAAGATCCCAGGAAAATTGCTGAAATGAAACACCACTATTTCAGAGTCTACTGTCAAATGGAAATGCCTTTTACTTTGTATTGTTACGTTAAAATTGTCATTGGAAAAGCATCAATTAAACAACAACAAAAATCATTCCAATAAAAAAAAATACCTTAAGTATGATTGGTATTTAGGCATGTCTCCCACATAAAGTGGGCATAGGATTACAGCATAGGCTTTTGTTTGAGGAAGGGGCAGTAGGGTTTATGGTGAGACACTAAGCATTAATCCACTGTGCACACCAACATGGGAATAAACTCATCTACACACAAGTGAGACTTTTGCATTTAAGTAAACTCTAAATGCTCATGTCAGGCCAGATTAAGTCTTGGAGTGGGGGTGAGGCCTGGTGGAGAAAAACATGACCTTATAGTAACAGGTAAAAGACGGACGGTTAAGTCCAGTCAAAGATGACTATGGGGTGCGGTGCACATCTCACTTTTCAGGCCGCGCATTTGTCCACAGACAGCTTTCCGGGTCATGTGGCCAGCATGAATAAACTGCTACTGATACACGGGGGACTGTGATGAGTGCCAGAGTACACAGAAACGCCGTTTACCTTCCTGTCACCTATTTATCTACTTGCATTGGTATGCTTTCGAACTGCTAGGTTAGCAGAAGCTAGGAGCGGAGCAATGGGGGCTCACCCTGTCACATTGATCTGAACTGCTGACCTTCCAATCAGCAAGCCCAAGAGGCTCAGTGGTTTAGACCACAGTGCTACCCGTGTTATAGTACAAAGATGAATCACTCTGATTAAATAAACTAAATACGGGTCCTGATGAAAGAGGAACCAGCTCTATGACAACTCTAGGATTGCAAATGACTTCTACGCCTCTTAAATAATACCTTTGTTGTTACATCAGTGTCCTCAGACACTGTTTATGGTCAACAGCACAGGAACATTCTTGGCTCTGGTAAGTGTGGAGAGGCATAAGTATACAGGAGTGTTCTTTCTCCTAGGCATTCAAGTTTGACCTAACTAGGAAACAGGTCACTCCATCATTACCTTATTGAATCAGAGTACTCTTGAACATAATTTCATCTACTGCTGATGTCCAGAGTCACAGTCTCCCAGATAACATTAGCTAATACCTCAAATTTCATGCAGTCCAAGAAGCCACAGCTAATGAAGACAGCAATGCTTGTCAGGCAACAGTTTCTACATTAAGACATTTCTTTCTAACTATCAAATGAATGACAACAGAAAGGTCTCACAAAGTTTTTTAAAACCCTTAAGGTTTAGGCTCAGACAAGGACTGTGCAAGATGAAAAACCTATTACATACACAAATTCTGTGCAGTCTTCCCATCCAATATCCGTAGCTCTTTAACTCTTTTCTTAGGCAGAGACACCTTCTTTTCTTCTGTATTCTCGACAGGCTTTTTAACTGCTAAACAAAGGGGACATTTATCAGTATGTGCAGACCTAACAGAAGCAAAGCTTCTACACCCAAACTGTTTAAACTTTCACAATATTTCCATGGCTGTGCTTTTTATGTTAAACTTAAGAATTTCCATTAATAAACAGAGATCAACCCATCATGTGCATGGTGAAAACCTGCATGAAACATGAACAGTGACATTTCAACTTTGTTGTGGAATAAAAAAAAGTGTCATTGCTTCAGAGCAAATCCAACAGGCACTGTCTAAAGCTGATGTGTAGCTAGCTCTATTGCCCTTGCCCATCTACATCAGTGATTTGAGAGAACAAAAGTGTTATCACAATTTCTTCAGCACATCAGAGCCTCCTACTGGTTGCAACCAGGCAATGCCAATCCCTATGTTATTTTTTCAATGAGGCCACACATTAATTGGAACATGGTCAAGAGAAATGAAAAACGATTCAGGTGTCGGTAAAGTCAGAGTTAAATGCTTAAAAAAACAAATCAAATACAGGATCTAAATTAAACCTGTTGGTAAGCAACCAATATTTTGTTTTCATTTAATACCGTGAGCTATTTTGTGAGCAATAACGTATTTGTTTGTCAAAGCAGGAGAAGAAAAGCTGATGCAACATGCTGTAAGAGTTTGTTTTCCATTGTACTCTTAATGCTATGTACTGCATGTGCAGCTGAGAGATGGATCTATTGTTGCATTGCCTACACCTGTAAACTAATGTATTCCCCTGAAATGATAATTTTATTATGACACCTGCTTGGTGCCCGCACAAGAAACAATGACATTAACCAAGGTAAGCCAAAAATTTGAAGGAAATTAAATGCATCCAATTGTTCTGGTGATAAGGAAAACCCACAAGAATGTAATGGTTCAGAGACTTAATTAAGCAAAACTTCACTATTAGCTCATCCCAAAATCTGGAAACACATGGGTTTTGAAAATTAACAGCTGCACAATACCTAATGTGTCTCACACTTGATCATTAACTCAATTACTGAACACCATTAAACATTACCTTTGCATGATTTAATTCTTCTAACGTTAAGACAAAGCAAAACATTGTCACCAACAGTGACCACATATAGCAAAAGGCAGGGGTTATTGAACTGTTAACCTATGTCTTGTTTTTATCTGTATGGGCCTACGGCCGTAATAAATTATTATTATTATTATAGAACTGTTAACCAAAAATGCCTGTTTTATATAGTAATTTTTGAGGTACAGGAATATCCAGTCATTCAAAATGTATACTCAGTTGTCAGATATTTGTAGAATAGTAGCTTACATTTATAATTACTAAGATCTTCAGAATCAAAACTCAGATTTACAATATCCCATGCCAATAACAGCTTCCAAACAAATTTAGTTACAGGAACAGGGAAACTGAATTGACACAATTTATGATGAAAAAGTAAAAAAGACACATCATCCAGGATATCATAAATGAGTGCAGAGCAATGTCCTTCCACACATGCAGTCACCTCCAGATATAGATTCTGTGATGTACTGCTAACCTATGGATTGGCATGTGTATTGTCTGCACTGACTAACACAACTTTACTGAATCTTCATCTTCAAATATAACAGTACTATAAAAATACTAGTTTGATCATTCAAGCTAGTTGATACTAGTCTAGAACTATGTCATCAACTCCAAACAACAACCTCCCCCCCCCATCAAAGATGCATCCAGAGACGTCTCACTGTGTTGGTCTTTATTATTGTATTGCTTATCTGTTATGTTTTATTTGATTCTGTATTTTAAATTTCTATTTATGTTGTGCCCCCATATGTTCTGATGAAGGATGGATTAGTTTTTTAAAAATAATGTTATGAGGTAGGGAGCATTTCTCTCATGGCAGAGTCTACCTGCGGCCATCAACAATTTCCTTTCCCAGTGGGACAAATGAACAAACCAACATTTTTGATCTCCCAGTTTGACTACTCTACTCTCATAAGGGAAAGTACAGCAAAAAATTATACAGTAGTATAATTTTACAGCAGAGATGGAGAACAACTTTTGGCTGGAAGACTACAGCCATATACAGCCAACCCTCCTCAAATCACATCAACAGTCAATCCCCTAACAAATTTGGGAGGAACTGTGGTGTATAAATTTAATAAACAAAGGCAATGTAAAGCTGTGGCTACAAAGGTTCAGTTGGGAGTGTGCAGCTACAACTTCAGCTTAGGTGATGTATGAATTTTTGAATTGGGCACCTTATCCCATCAAATACTCAGCAGCATGATGAGATAAGGTACAAAATTCAAATAATAATGTTAAGCCGCAGCTGCAAAGGAACCTTTCTTTACAGCAATGGCTTGAATTCACCACTGTTTGATGACAGCTGATAAACAAGTGGGCATGGCTTAGCTGATGTCATATGATGTCAGTTGATAAGACATCTGGGTGGCCTTGGCTTAAACAGCCTTGAGAGCCAAATGAGGATACCTGGTGAGCCTAATTAGCCCCATGGACTAGAGTTTTTCCACCTCTGTTTTACAGGATACATTTATGAAACTAAATATTCAGCTGTGATAGATGAAAACGTAAGTAGGAATAGTGAGATGCATTCAGCAAACTGATATGAAGTACTTTTAGCAACTGCTTTGCCAACATGGAAGAATACCTCTATAATCAAGTAAGGTTAGACAGAGAGAAATGACACACACACCCCACCCCCCACACCCAAAATTGGTTCTCATTCAGCAGAAGAAGATACAGTTTGATATTCTCTGGATGACAGTTCAGGTTATCATGAGGTAAGTTTGTCGCACTGTGAACCGTTAAATACTTATTGATCTAACACTGCCACTAATCGCATCTTTTGCAGGGTTACAAAACAGCTGCAAACAAACAGTGCCTATCTCTTCCCATAAACAAAAGTCTTAAATCACTATTCCAGTCAAAAGAAACTTTTCAAATCTAATTGGCTGGAAGGGCTTGCATTACGTATTTAATAGCATATGCTTTTAGGAATCAAGATAACATCTGTACTGTGAATGTTTTAGGGCATCTTACTATGCATGTTTCATATAGGGGAGAACCAAGATGGTTTAACGCACTGTGCCACCCGCATCCCCCTAGGTTGGTATACTGCATTTTAAAACAAACCAATACATATTTCTAAAACCAATTAAAATTCATATAAAGTACACTCAATATAAAGAGAGGTCAACATAAGAGCACAACAGGTACCACACACTGACCTCAATGAACTATTCATTCTTGCCTCCAAAAGATATAGCTTCACTTGCCATGATGTTGAATGAGAGACAATGAAAAGGCACTACCTTAAAAGACCCAGTGATAAGGCCCTACTAATTCAAGTGAGGAAAATGTCATATTCAGAAAGTCATGCCTTCCCTTTGAAATAGCTTCATTTCCCTTAGTGACATCACTATACAGTAAAACCTCATAGACTCTGTAATGACATGACTGTTATCGGAAAGTGCTAGCTTTCAAGCATAAATATGCTACTACTAGAGACTGCCTCCCCTGCTTTCCCTAATCACCCTTCTCATCTATCTGCTAACGCCTTCCCCACACATCTGACCATTTCCCTACCACCTCACCTATTTCCCACCACCAGCCTTCCCCACAGCTTACCCCAAGCTCTTCTCCCTTCCCTCACAGCTTGCCTCATCCCCTTTTAAAGTGAAGAGGCTCTTCACAGAGCAGCTTGTCAAACTGCTCTGTGAATAACCTCTCCTCCCTCTGTTAAATTTTGTGGCAACTGCTTTTAATGCTGGGTGCTTCACAAGTCACAGAATGGCTTTCCCCATTCTGTTAAACAGCGTCTCTTGGCCAACAACCATCAGAGCTGCTTCATCAATCTCCTGTCTACTGGTCCTCAGGCTGGAGTTCACAAGGCCACCCCCTGTGAACTGCACAGCATGGCAACAACCTTAATTTTTTATGTATACCTCGGGTTAAGTATTTAATTCGTTCCGGAGGTCCGTTCTTAACCTGAAACTGTTCTTAACCTGAAGCACCACTTTAGCTAATGGGGCCACCTGCTGCTGCTGCCGCCACCGCCGCACGATTTTTGTTCTCATCCTGAAGCAAAGTTCTTTACCCGAGGTACTATTTCTGGGTTAGCGGAGTCTGTAACCTGAAGCGTATGTAACCTGAAGCGTATGTAACCCGAGGTATCCCTGTATAGGAAGTTGCAGTTTTTATGTATACAGTGGTACCTCTGGTTACAAACTTAATTCGTTCCGGGGGTCTGTTCTTAACCTGAAACGGTTTTTAACCTGAGGTACCACTTTACCTAATGGATCTCCTGCTGCCGCCACGCATCCAGCACCAGATTTCTGTTCTCAGCCTAGAGGAAAGTTCTTAACCCAAAGTACTACTTCCAGGCTAGCGGAGTCTGTAACCTGAAGTGTTTGTAACCCAAGGTATCACTGTATAGGAAGAAAGTTTCACTGAATACAGAAATGAACGAGTTTGAAATTGAAGCTGGAGAGAAGCATTTCAGAAAACATTTTGGCCTCCCCTGAAGCTTCTTTTTCATGTTGAATGTGTCATTAATTATTAATTGGATAGGATCATGAACTTTTACATTTTGAAGACATGACAACTTACTTTGGGAAGGCACACTAGAAAATGCTGCTAATCCTACCCTAGAGCAGTACAGTTTACTATGAGGGGCAGAACAGGAGCTAATGAATGAAGCATCCGGAATGTGGCAACGTAAGAACAGGCCTTTTCTACAGTTGCTCCCCATCTGTGGAATGCTCTCTCCAGGGAGGCTCACCTGGCACCTTCATTATACATCTTTAGGTGCAAGGCTAAAACATTCCTCTTCAACTAAGCTTTTGGCTGATTAACATTCTATGTCCTTTAAAATTTGTTTGTTGGAGGGAGGGTTACTGGATTGCTTTGGTTTAGTTCATGTTTTTATTATTTTAAAAAATTATTATTTTGTATATTTATGCTGTAAACCACCATGAGATTCCTAGTATTTGTTTTTGCTGGCATCTGTCT